CCACAGAAGGCTCTCAGAGAACACTGTCTGGTGGGCCCATGGGCGCGCCAGGACGCTCCGCCACTGCTCGACAGACTCCCGAGGCGGCGGCCGCCGCTCCGCCACCGCCGAAGGCGGGGCCTGGGCGGCGCGAAGTCCGAGGATCGGGCGCGCCGAGGGGGGAAGCGAGAAGGGGCGGGCCTTCTCAGGAGGCGGCGGCGTTTCGGCGACGGCTGGGAAGGCCCCCCGGAAGGCCCCCGAGGCCTCCGGAGTCTGCCGAGCCTGCCTGTCCGCCACTGCTACGCCGCGAGTGAGTCCTGAGAAAACGCGCGGCGGGGGACGCTCCGCCGTCGTCGGCCTCCGGGGCCCTGCCGGGGCCTCCGGGGCCTCGGGGCCGCAGCGGGAGCAGAGGAGGCGGGAGGCCTCGGGCCGCCGGGGAGCAGGCGGCCCCTCGGGCGCCGAGCCGCACGGTGCACGAGGAAAGACGCTCATTGCGCGTGAGAGGGGGCCTGGCTTCCACCACCACCGCCACACGTTGGAGGGGGAGGGGGTCCTCCTCCTCCTCCTCCTCCTCCTCCTCCTCCTCCTCCTCCTCCTCCTCCTCCTCCTCCTCCTCCTCCCCTCTCTCCTCCTCCTCCTCCTCCTCCTCCTCCTCCTCCTCCTCCTCCCTCTCCTCCTCCTCCTCCTCCTCCTCCTCCTCCTCCTCCTCCTCTTCCTCCTCCTCCTCCTCGTTCCCCCCTCCAACTCATGGTGGTGGTGGAAAACAGGCCCATCATGCGCGACAGCGCGGCGACAGAGGCCGCCGTTTTTTCCAATCATGCGGGCAGACAAGGGGCACACTCGGCCGAGAACGCGCACGGCCGACTTGTCGCCGACCACCCAGGGACGGTGTACAAGTAACACCGGCCATCCCCACACCCCCGAATACAATACCAACCCGCGATGCACATAGTGTAGACGTGATGTTGCTTGTGCATGCGGACGCACACCTAGATGCTACCATGAAGACGGCGCGCTACCAGTGAGGGATGCCAGGCGTCCTGCGACCTACCGTCAAAACAGCAACCCGATCAACCTCCATGGCAGAAAACAAGCCCGCGGTGGTGGCGCATACATGCGGGCCCGCGATGTCGCCTCATCCTCTTAAGGCGAAGCCAAGACGGGGACAACATCGGACCGGGACAATTCGGGTATCTCTCAGATCCGACCTCTCTGGAAGATGCATCGGGTGCCGCGGCCGCTCAGAGCATTCCGGAGCGCTCGAGTGTTCGTCGAAAGGGGGGACCGCAAGCGTTGGGTGCAGAAACGTACACCTTCAGTGCACCTTCTGACCCAGAGACCCGACGTGGCAAAAAAATGCAACATCGTTTTCAGTATACAATATCGATAGAGGTATGTAGATAATTGTGCTATATGTATATATAATATTAAAAACATGTTACCACCCCCCCCCCCCCACACACCACATACACACAACAACAACAACAACAACAACAACAACAACAACAACAACAACAACAACAACAACAACAACAACAACAACAACAACAACAACAACAACAACAACAACAACAACAACAACAACAACAACAACACAACAACAATCACAACAACAACAACAACAACAACAACAACAACAACAACAACAACAACAACAACAACAACAACAACAACAACAACAACAACAACAACAACAACAACAACAACAACAACAATTACTAGCACGTGGGGACACACCGTTCTCACCAGTGCCAGGGTTTTCATAGGAGGCGGGCAATACCCCCACTTTGTGGGGGGGCCGGTTCAAGCTCTACCAAATTTCCAAACGACTCTTCGCCACCACCCACACCCAGCTTCCCGCCCTATGACGTTCGGACACTTCACTTCGTGGCATGCGGACGACCGTGGCTACTATTCAGGGCCCCGCGGCCGACGACGACGGCGTGCGCGCGCGAAGAAAAAACGAATGTGTCCCGCATGGTATTATTTGACAGGGATGATGGCCCTGGCAGGTGCGCAACCGTTGTTGCAGAAGTTCGAAAAAGTTGCTCGCAAAAGCCCGTTTGACAGAAATGATTAAAAAGTGTTGGGTTTCCTACAAATCCGCAAGAGCGCGCGGGATGAAGTTTTGACAATTTTTTTTTGAAAAACCATTGGTGTTTTGACGTTTTTATGTTAAAATCGCTACGAAAACTAAGGTTTTGGAAGGATTTCGTCTTGCGCGCGCGAATGTCCACTTTACCTTATTTTTTGCAAGGGATTCTTGAAGTTTGGTTATGTTAGAACAAGACATGTCATTTTATATTGTTTTTTTTGACAGGGAAAGCGGGCGTCAACAAAACAACCGGATCCGGACTCCCCCGTTTTGCCTGAGACTTCCTCACGAAAATGATGAAAATGTGGCTGCGGCCTAGGCGCGGCGAGGGGGGCGTGCACCAGGGGGCCCAACAATAATTATTCTTTAGAAGTAATAATATTCAACAACAACAACAACAACAACAACAACAACAACAACAACAACAACAACAACGACAACAACAACAGCATCAACAACAACCACAACAACAGCAGCAGCAACAACAACAAAAACAAAAACTAAACGCCTGGAGCCTTGGACCCGGGGCTCTCAGGGCCGCCCGTGGCGGCAGCTCAGGGGCCAACCAGGGCCCATGGCACGGCCACTGCCCTGGATCGGGGGCGCGCAAACGGGGCGCGCAAGCATGGATTAGCGATCCATGGATTTGGCGCGCGGTCGCCAAATCCATGGATCGGGGGAGGTGCCCTCCCCAGAATGCGGCCAGTGCCGCCTCGTTCGGCGGCGGGAATCCGCAGTTCCCCATGGAAGCAGGACCCGTCGCTAATCCACGCCCCCTTGATCCATGTTTGCGATCGCCTGAGCCCTGGAATCCTCAGCCCCCCCGTGATTTTGTTGCCCTCCCGCCCCCTCCGCCGTCTGCCCGAGACGCGCTCTGGAGCGACATCGATCCCAGTCCTTCGAGTAGGGGATCGTCTACAGAATTGCACTACCCCGAAATTAACTTTCTCGTCAAATCCTTGAAGGAAGCATAGAATGTTCGTGCTGCGAACATTGTCCATTCTGTAGTCGATCCCCTATTCAAGTCCTGGGCCAGCCCGACCGCCGCCGCCCCCACTGCTCGCCCGCGGCGCGGCGCGACGCGACGCGACCCCTCCCGATTCTCGGCGGCGTTTTCGTTGGTTCTCGGCGGTTTTCCAGCCTCGGGATGCGTTCCAGCGGCTGCGCCTTGCTGAGGGCATTCCAGGGGTGCCCGGATCGTCCCGAACGGGCGCTGGAGACCCGAGTTATGACCCAAAATCCAAATCCCGCGGCGCGCCCGGGGGGGGGAGTGAGAAGGAGAAGACCTTCTCAGAAGGCGGCGGGGCTTCTCTCAGAAGCGCTCTGGTCTTCTGAAAGGCTGCTGCGTGTCGCTGGGGAGGCTTGGAAACTTTCTCAGAAGGCCGGGGGGGGACTTCCGAGCCTTCTGGGAAAGGGTCCCCCTTCTCTGAAGGGGCCCTGGGACACACAAATAAATACACACAAATAAAAGGATTCCCCATATTTTGATTTTTGTTTCGGATTTTCGTCTGCCCCCCCACTTCCCATATTTTCCCATGTTTTCTGGGGGATCGACGATTAATTGTGTCTGTGTGTTTTTCCCTCCTCCTGATTCTCACCTCCCCCCCCCTCGCTCGCCGCTGACATTCCTCGGCGGGGGAGGCGCCGCGGAGCTCCGGCGCAAGGAGAGACAGTCTGGGCACGTGGCCCTTCCAGGAGGCAGAGGCCAACCCCCGCGAGGCTCTGCAGCAGCACGTCGCAGAGCGGTGCTGCAGCCCCTCGGGAGGAGGGCGGAGCCCCATGGTCGCAGGGAGCCTGCGCGGAGGAGCAGCACACGGCAGAAGCACAGAAACGTTCGGAGCTCCGCGCAGATGTTGTCTTCGGGCGGCGCTGGAGCGCGCTTATGACAATTCGCGATAAGGGCCGCTACTGGGCATGCTCCCCCTTCCTCTCCCCCCCACCTGGTAAAGTCACGGTTCGCGCCGACGCCGTTTGGGAATTGCCAGGGGTAACGAATTCCCAGACGGCGCTGGCGCGAATCGTGACGTTAGCAGCCCCCTCGCCCCCCCCCTCCCACCCCCCGCTGTAACGGCGGTCAAGTGAGGATGCGCGGTAAGGATACAAGGACCTTGGAGGGTCATGTTGGCGTTTTCGAACAGGGCCGGTTATAGCGAAAGCCGCCGAGGATGGGCCGAAGGGGCAAGGATGCAGGGGCAGCCTTGGAAAGCTGCTCATCCATGCTATCTGATTCGACTGCATCGCCAGGGGATACAACACCGAGCCCCTGGCCTCACGATGTTGCTGTCCGTCTCGGGGTTCCAGCAGTCGTCGATGCCATTCAGGATGCCGTGCCTCCACCGCGCGGCCGGCCTCTGCCCTCGAGCGCGGGCCCGCCGTCGCCGTCGCCGAGGCGGAGGGAGAGGAGGACCGACGAATGCGGTGCGATTCTCCGACCCCATCTACTCTACTTCCGTCTGGGAGGTCTCCGGAAAAGGTGCCGATACCGCTGCCCTGGCCTCGTTTCCACCCGTCGGGGCCTCCTGGGAGGCCCGAGTCACCACAGCTGGACTCGCCTCGCAATTTCGGCCAGAACGCACCCAGGGAAAGGTCCCGGGAGTAGCGGTGTCGATACCTCTTGGCTTCCCCAGGACAGTCCGCCACGCGGTGCCAGGAGTCAGCGCGCGGGCCCAAGCACGACGCGCCAACGTCGGAGTGCTGCTGCACACCGAAGGATGCCGACGCAGGCGGCGCAGTGGCGGGCGGCACCTTGAGGAGGAGGAGGCGGAGGAGGAGGGGGAGGAGGAGGAAGAGGAGGAGGAGGAGGAGGAGGAGAAGGAGGAGGAGGAGGAGGAGAAGGAGGAGGAGAGGAGGAGGGGAGGGGAGGAGGAGGGGAGGAGGAGGAGGAGGAGGAGGAGGAGGAGGAGGAGGAGGCGGAGGAGGCGGGCCGAGTGCCGTCGGCGGCGATGCGCGGGGGAGGGGACGCCGAGAGAGGAGCGGAGAGACGGCTCCAGCCACGGCGGGGCTCGGCCACGGAGAGACCCCCCCGGGCACACACGCAGGGAGCGAGCGCCCGAGAGTCAGAGCCCCTCTCGGGGGAAACGACAGGGGGGGGATCGCACAGGGCAGGGTGGAGAATCAGCTCACGCAGCTGATTTTCCCAGCGCCTTCCGGCGCCGGGAGGCGCCCATGTATATCGAGGAATGGGCCCGGCGGCGGGGCCGAAACCAGCTGCACGCAGCAGATTTCGTAAACCCCCCTTGCCCTATCCCCCCCTGTCGCTCGGCCCGACCCTCCTGAGCCCAAGGCGGTCCGTTCTCAGTGTCTTGACTGTAGACGCCCTGGGGGCCACCGAGAGGAGGAGCAAAGGGAGCAAGGAGAAGGAGGGCACCGCGCAGACAGGCGCGGGCACCGGCCCTACCTCTCTGCCTGGAGCTAAGTTTTTGAGACCCCATACCGCGCGTTCTGTGGCTGGCTGGGTGGGTTCGCTGGCACATAACATAACACAGTCGTGCCCGGCCGCCGAATGTTTTGTTCTCGAAGCTCTGTCCCTGATGCTATTCTCGGTAATGACGCAACGAAGTGCCCCTGCAGCTGCGAAATGGCTTCTCGGAGGCAGCTTTGGAAGGCTCCTGGGAGCCGTTTGGGGCCCTCTGGGGGCATCCTTTTGGGTCTATTGCGGGCCTCGTGAGGCCTCTAGGGGCCTCTTGGGCTCCCCTGGGAGCCTCTTGGGGGCCTCCAGGGGGCCCCGCTGTGGGACGGCGGACAACTACGCAACGCGCAAGAAGTGTCGGGGGTGTGGGACCCTTGGAACGCGCAAAGAACTCACGTACAAGGACGTGCTGCAGGGCCCGACAAAGCGGGAGGCGGCGCTCCAGAAGCAGGTGGACTTCATGCGGGCAGAGCTGCAGGGCCTCAAGAAGCAGCAGCACGCCACGCAGGAGGAGGACGACGAGAAGCCTGTGGACTTGGATAAGCTCTTCAGATGGGCCCAGTCCTGCAAGACCGAGTGGGGAGACCAGTCGGTCGAGTACCAGCAGGCTCAGGAGCGCTACATGCGCGCCAAGGATGCCAAGCGAAGCACGAAGCCGCACTCGGTCCAGCTCACATTGGCACGGGTGGCCAGAGAGAAGCTGGAGAAGGAGGAGGCGGCAATCATCGACGAGGTCAAGCGGCACCAGAAGGCCATGCAGGAGGCACAGGAGAAGCTCACCAAGAAGAGGGAGCAGCTCGAGGTCGCAAGGGCCAAGGAGTCGGAGCTTAAGGTTCAGGACGTAGCCGTCAAAGGCAAGGGCTTCCTCACGGCCATGCAGAAGCAGCACGAGGGTGCCGTCGAAGGCAGCGGCATCAGCAAAGCGGAGCACGAGCAGTTGTTCGCAGCGCTCGGCAAAGTGCTGGACAACGTCAAGGAGGAGCCCAAGGACGACGAGGACGGCATGGACACTGAGGAGGCAGGTGGTGCTCCTGCTGGTGGCAACAGTGGGGGCACAGGTGCAGCCAGAGGAACGCAAGATGAACGCGAGCAGGGTCCGCAGCTGTCACCTGAAGAACAGGAGTGGCTACATGCAGGAGGGATTCCCGCGGACGCCAGCGAAGCACAGCGAAAGCGTTGGATGGAGGTGTGCGTCAGCCTGGCGGAGCATAACAAGCGGGCCAAGCGATCCTAGCAGGCTGCGCAAGAAAAAGCATGAGAGCCTCACATTGTGGACTTTCAACGGTTCGGGGTGGGGCACCATCAAGGAGATGACCGAAGGATCTGAACGGGGCAAGCTGCAGTGCTACGCAGTGCAGGAGCATCGACTCATGGACGACAGGATCGCGGTGGTGTCGCAGAGCATGAAGGTGCAAGGGTACCAGTTCGGCGGCGTAGCAGCGAACCAGACCATAGGACCAGGTGGAGAAGCAGGTACCTCAGCGGGCGTTGCGGTGGTGGCGCCCAGGTGCATAGGCATGACCTACCTGTATGGCAAGGAGAAGTGGGACCTATCACCGCGCAACAGTCCAGGGAGAGCTGTAGCTGCGTGGTTAGCGGTCGGTAAGGGCATTATCTACGCGTCGGTCTACTTGTGGACGGCGGAGGGCATAACGTTCAGGAACATGGAGATCATCAACAAGGTGATTGGACAATTGGAGGCGATTGGAGCGCCGTGGATCATCGGGGGAGATTTCCAGGTGGCGCCCGAGAAGATGACGGAGGTAGAAAGCGTCAAGATGGCCAAGGCGCGAGTTGTAGCGTCAGGAGCCAGGTGCGGCACGTGCAGACATGCGCATGGTGCAAGTGAGATCGACTATTTCATCGTTTCGGGCAGCCTGGTCAGCCAGGTGATGGATGTCAGAGTGCAGGAGGAGTGGCCGTCGGCGCCCCACAAGCCAGTGGGGCTCACTCTCAGGCTAAAGGTGAAGGAGCGCTTGGTCAGGGTGCTGGAGAAGCCGAAGGCTTTGCCAGAGCTGGGCATTGGCTGCACACCAGCGCCGCCTAGGTACCAGGACATCGCGAGTTTCGGGTCGCAGGAGGAGGCCAACCAGGCGTGGAAGCAGTATATGCAGACACTGGAGCAGGAGGCCTTTGCAGTGCGAGGTCTAGCATGGGCACCGGACCATCCTGCAGCAGGACGGGCGGAGGAGCCGACTTGGAGGATAAAGCCGCTCAACTTCGGCGGTGCCAACGTTCCGCCAGCAGCTAGAGAAGCAGTATGGTGGAGGTGGTTGGCAAAGACTTTGCAGAATTTGCATGGGGCATATTCTAGGCTCAAGATGGCGAGAACAGGGGACATCCAGAGGCAACGGCAGCGGGAGGCAACTGCGCATGAGCACCAGTTCATCATCACGCGCCAGCGGACGAAGCACCTAAAAGCTGAGGAGCAGGGCAAGTGGCAGGCCAGGTGCGGGTTGCTGGCTGCTGGGTTACTCCGAGGAGCGTTACAAGAGGCGAAGTTGCAGCAATGGATGCAAGAAAGCCAGGCCAAGATGAAGGAGTACGACCAGAGGCTCCTCAAGGAGAGGCGTGCACGGTGGGCAGACAGGCTGCAGGAGGCGGCAGCAGGTGCAGCGGGTGGCCTACACAAGCTAAGCAAGGCTGCTACCGTATGGAGGCCACGCAGGGGAGACACCATAGAGGGCTCGGCAGACCCCATCGAGGCGGCGGAGCACACCCTCAGGGAGTGGAAACAGATCTGGAGGGTCGGCGAGCAGATCCAGGAGGAGGTAAGACCGTGGGAGTGCGAGGAGCGTGACAAGCTCGAGCCTTTCACGGGACAAGATGTGGACAAGCTCAAGGAGGTAGCCCGCACCTTCAGAAAGAAGACGGGGGTCGGTGTCGATAGGTGGCATCCCTCCATGCTGCAGGGCGCGTCGGACGAAGCGTACGACAAGCTGTTGGACTTCTACATGGAGGTGGAACGGACCTTGTACTGGCCCATTCACATGGGCACGGTGCTGTTCTTCATGATCCCGAAGACCTTCACCACGGACAGGGTCATCGGTTTGCTGCCCACAGCCATCAGGGTGCGGGAAATTCTGCGGGAGCCGTACATGGTCAAGTGGGCCAAGCAGAACTACAGGAGCTGGGACTGCACGAGCTACGGTAAGGCGGCGGAGGACGCGGCCTGGGAGGTGTTGCTCAGCCACGAGATGGACGACGCGGAGGAGCAGAGCGAGGAGACGCAGGCTACGATCACGGCGGTGTTGGACTTGGTGAAGGCTTTTGAGAAGGTCAGCTTGCACGTATTGTGGGAAGCAGGCAAGCAGCTAAATTTCAACACGGGGGTGCTGGCTGTGGTGTGCTCATATTTCGCCATGAGCAGGCGCCTCATCGTGGGTGACTCGGTGTCCAGCGAGACCCAGACGGTGGCCACCATCGTCGCGGGTAGCAAGTTCTCAGTGCGCTTCTTGAAGATGGTCATCCAATCCACGTTGGATGGCCTGGTGGTGGAGAGACCGAGGGCGCGCTGGAGAATGTATGTGGACGACCTGTGCGTGCGGTTACGACAGCAGCACCAGTACATTGTTACGGAGATTGAAGAGACAATCGACAGTTGCTTCAGAGGCTTCGAGAAGATAGGCTTGAAGTTCTCGGTGGGCAGCAAGGGTAAAGACGCTGTGATGGCGAGCACTAAGTGGGCGCGAAAGGCCGTGGCAGGGCCGATGCGTGGGCGAGGACTGCCAGTGGTGAGGGCCTGCCCGTACCTGGGGGTTGACATCGTCACGCACGGTACGGCCGCGAAGGCTAAGAACGGCAAGAGGCATGCTATTATGAAGGCCAGGAGTCGGAGGCTGCTCACCCTGAAGGGCGGGCGCAAGATGACCAGGGGCGTTGGCTTGGTGTTCAAGTGTGGTCTAAAGCGGTCAGTATTGTACGGGTGCAAGTGCTTAGGCATGCCAGACCACCAGCTACGACAGCTACGACGTGAGGCAGGACGATTACTACCAGGAGGTCGTGGAGCCCGTAGCCTCACCCTCCAGCTGGCGGTTGCGCAGGAGGAGCCGACGTACGAGGTCACTGAGGCGCCGATAGTAAGGTGGGCGCGTGCAGTGTGGCATAGCGCACCAGACGAGGATGGAGCAGGACAATGGGACAGCATGGGCACCATGTTGCAGCAGGCGTGGAGACGGCAGCAGCAGGTCGGCATGAAGCCAGCGTGGGCCCGAGTGCGGGGGCCAGCAGGTGCTGTCATCATGTCCATGAGAAGGGCCACGTGGGCGTGGCCTGCGTGGCATACGTTTGTCTCGAAGGAGGGCTTCGAGCTGAACATGCAGGAGGTGTGCCCTATGGACATTGCAGCGATGGTGCGCAAGGACGTGCAGGCGACCCTCTGGGAGGAGTGGACGCAGGCGGAGGAGCTCAGAAGCCTGAGCCCAATGCCTTTGGTGGCACCAGCGGTGGCGCAGTTGCGAGCACGTGAGTTCCCGAAGCATGCCAAAAATGCAGCGAAGAAGATCTTCATCGGAGGT